TTATGTATACAATGGAATATTACTCAGCCATTAGAAATGACCAATACCCACCATTTGCTTCAACGTGGATGGAACTGGAGGTTATTATGCTGAGTGAAGTAAGTCAATCGGAGAAGGACAAACAGTGTATGTTCTCATTCATTTGGGGAATATGAATAATAGTGAAAGGGAATATAAGGGAAGGGAGAAGAAATGTGTGGGAAGTATCAGAAAGGGAGACAGAACATAAAGACTCCTAACTCTAGGAAACGAACTAGGGGTGGTGGAAGGGAGGAGGGCGGGGGGTGAGGGTGAATGGGTGTCGGGCACTGAGGATGAGCACTGGGTGTTATTCTGTATGTTGGTAAATTGAACACCAATAAAAATTAATTTATTAAAAAAACAATTATGTATAGAACAAACAGCAGAAGATCAATGAGGAAAGGAAAAATGAGCAACACTACAAACCAACTAAACCCAACAAGCATCTATAAAAAACTTCTTCTAGGGGAGTCTGGTTGGCTGAGTCAGTTAAGCATCTGCCTTTGGGTTAAGTCATCATCCCAGGGATCTGGGATCAAGCCTTATATCAGGCTCCCTGCTCAGCAAGGAGTCTGCTTCTCCCTCTCCCTCTGCCTTTTTCCTGGTTTATGCTTTCTCTCTCTCTCTCTCTCTAACAAATACATAAAATCTGTTAAAAAAAAACTCCAAACAACATAATAATTTTTCTCAAGTGTTCATGGTATATATTTTTAGGATGGGCCATATACTAGTTAAGCCACAAAATAAATCTCAGAAAATTTAGAACGATTGAAATAATACTATGTTCTCTAAATACAACAGAATGAAATTAGAAATTAGTAACAAAAATTTGGAACACTCACAGTTATACAGAAATCAAATGACTCCAAATCAAATCAAATGACTACAAATCAAATACTCCAAATAACTAATGGGTTAAAGATGTAAACAAAACGCAAATTAAAAAATACGTTGAGATGAATGAAAATTAAGATACAACATACCAAAAATTATGAGATGCAATGAAAGCAGTGGGTTAAACGGAAATTTACAGCCATGAATGCCTGTATTGAAAAGGAAGAAATACCTCAAGTAATTAACCTAAACTTACACTGATGACACTGGAAAAAAACAGCAAACTAAACTCAAAGCAAGCAAAAGGAGGGAAATAAATATTAGAGTGGAAATAAATAAAACAGGCAATAGAAAAAACAATAGATAAAATCAATAAAATCAAAAGTGGTTCTTTGAAAATAGCAACAAAAGTGACGAAGCTTTACCTAGACTGACTAAGAAAAACAACTAAGGAGACTCAAATTACTAAGATCAGCAATGAAATGGGTACCCTGTTACTGAACCTAATGAAATAAAAAGGATTATAAGAAAAACTGTCAAGAATGCTATACCAATAAATAAATTCCTAGAAAGATAAAAATTACCAAAAAAAAAAAATTCAAGAAGAAACAGTTTGAAAATACCTTTAAGTAAAGAGATTGAATTAATACTCAAAAAACTATCTAAAAAAAAAACAATCTCAGGTACAGATGGTTCGTTGGTGACTACTATCAAACATTTAAAGACTGAATACTAATATTTTGCATTACCAATATTCCAAAAAATAGAAAAGGAGAAACACTTTTGTGAGACTAGTATTAACTTAATACCAATCCAGACAAATACAAGAAATCTACAGACCAATATCTTCCGTAAATATGGATGCAATAATCCTCAACAACATACTAGAAAACCAAATCCAGCAACTTATAAAAAGAATTATATACCATGACCAAATGTAATCTGTCTGCTTTCTCAGGAGTGCAAGGTTGGTTTAATATCCAAAGATCAATTAATGTTATATATCATAACAATAGAATGCAAACCAAAACCCACATATCATCTCAATAGATGTGGAAAGAACATTCGACAAAATGTAATGCCCTTCCATGATAAAAACATTTAAGAAAGTAGGAAAAGAAAGAACTTGCTCAGCCTGATAAAGGGTATCTATGAAAAAAACTACAGCCAACATTAGATTTAAAAGTGAAAGACTAAATTTTTTCCTTCTCAAAACATAATCTTATCTGAGGGGAAAAAAAACAGAAGTTTTATAATACCATTTTATTTCAACACTGTGCTGGAGGTTTTAGCCAGTGTGGCCAGAAAAAAAAAAAAGAAATAAAAAACATTCACAATGGAAAGAAAGAAGTAAAACTGTCTTTTTTATAGACAACATGATCATCTATATAGAAAGTCCAATGAAATCTCCAAAAATTTATAGGAAGTAGGAAGTGAGTTTAGCAAGGTTGCATGATAACATCTCAATATACAAAAAAAAGTGTATTCCTATTAGCAAAAAACAACCAAAAACTGACATTTAAAAAATATCATATATAATACTATCAAAAACATGAAATACTTAGCAATAAATCTTATAAAAGATGTCGAAGACCTGTATACTGACTCCTATAACTTCTAGGAAAAAAAAGAAGACCTCAATTAACTGAGAGCTATATCATGTTCAGGTTTAGACAACTCAATATTGCTAAGACGTCCTTTGCCCCAAAATTAATCTATAAATTCAACTCAATACCAATAAAAATAATAGTACCCCTTAAAAAAAAAGAAAGTGAAAAAACTCACTCTAAAATTCATATGAAATTGCAAATGACCTAGAATATCTGAAACACACTAGAAAATGGAGAACAAAATTGGAGGACCAATAATACCTGATTTTTAAAAAAATATATAAAATTATATAAATATTTTTATATATTTGAGAAAAGTGCACCTGCATGAGTGGGGAGAGGGCCAGAGGGGGAGGCAGGGGGACAAGCTGACTGTGTGCTGAGCATGGAGCCTGACATGGGGCTTGATTTCACAACTCTGAGATCATGACCTGATCTGAAACCAAGCGTCAGCTGCTTAACCTACTGAGCCACCCTGATGCCCCAACACTACCTGATTGTAACACTTATTATAGAGCTCCACAATCAAGATGGTATTCATGGTAAGACAGGTATATAGATATATTATATAGAAGTCCAGAAATAGGCACATATATAAAACAAAGGATTTTCTACAAAGATGCAAAGACAATTCAATAAAGGGTAATTTTTTCAACATATGTTGTCGGAAGAACTGAATATCCAAATTCAAAAATATGCTACTTTGTACCACATACAAAAATTAATGGATCATAGGCCTAAATTCTAAGATAAAATCTTTGTGTCCTTGGGTTAGACAAAGAATTCTTAGATATGGTTCTAAGAACATAATCAGTGAAAGAGCAAGTTGCTAAGTTGGACTATATCAAAATATTAAACTTGTGTTTTTTTTATTTTTTAAGATTTTATTTATTTATTTGAGAGAGAGCTCGTGAGCACAGAGGGAGAGTGAGAGGGAGAAGCAAACTTCCCACTGAGCAGAGAGCCCAATGCAGTACTCAATCCCAGGACCCTGAGATCATGACCTGAACTGAAGGCAGATGACTAACCAACTGAACCACCCAGGAGCTCCAAACTTCTGTTCTTTTATAAGACAATTTTGAGAGAATGAAAAGACAAGCCATAGACTAAGAGAAAATATTTGCTAAGTATATGTTTGATAGAGGGCTTATATCCAAAATATATCAAAACAAATACCAGAACAAGGAAACAAGCAACCAATTAAAAACTTGGGCAAATATTTGAAAATAAGTTTCACCAAAGAATAAGTATGGCTGGAAAATAGCACATGAAAAGATGCTAATCATTTTGAAATGCAAATTAAAACCACAATGATAAACTACTATACATATATACGTATGACATCCATACATCTACATTACATGTTAGTATATAGCTAAAATTAACAGATTGATCATACTAGGTGTTACATTAAGTAAGAATGTGGAGGAACTAGAATACTCATACACAGCTGGTGGAATGGAAAATGTTACAAACAACTTGGCAGTTTCTTAAAAAGTCAAATATATACTTATCATATATAATCTAGCCACTCCACTCCTAGGTATTCACCCAAGAAAAGCAAAAGCCTGTGTGAGCCAAAATTTGTATACCAATATTCACAGGAGCTTTATATGTGATAGTCAACAACTGGAATCAACGTAAATGTCTGTCACAGATGAAATGAAAAACTGTAGTTTGTTCTACATACTACAGAACAATAAAAAAAGGAATTAACTACTGATACATGCTCTAATGACAATGACTCTCAATTATGTTCAGAGAAAGAAGCCAGACAAAAATGAACACATATGGTGTAATTCTACTTTTATAGAATTCTCTGAAGTGCAAACTAAAGTATAGGGACAGAGGGCAGAACAGTAATTGTCTATAGGCTCAACATGGGAAGAAGGGGATAGGAAGCAGGTATACAAAAGGGCAAAAAGAGACTTTTGGAGGTGATGGATATGTTCATGACCTTGTCTGTGGTCATGGTTTCACAGATGTAAACTTATAGGTCAAAATCTGTCAAATTGCATAATATAAATACGTGTAGTGTGTGTTAATAATACCTCAATAAAGCTGTTAAGAAATAGCAGAAATATGAAAAGTTATGTTAAAATTTTATTATAGCTGATCCAGAGTTGGATCCCACAGGTGCTTGGGACCAAAACATATAGAACCATCCTAAAAGCATTTCACTCACTGAGAACACTATGGTATGTCTCCTCATTCAAGAAGCCCAGTCAAACCTTATTTCCTGAATCTGAGCTAAATGCCTACACTTCGTGACAGTAACATTTATTAACTTAATTATAAAATTACATGATTTTATTTATTTTTTGTAAAGATTTTTTTAAGATTTATTTATTTATTTTATGATAGAAAGAGAGAGAGAGAGACAGGTAGAGGGAGAAGCAGGCTTCATGCCGGGAGCCCAATGCAGGTCTCGATCCCAGGACTCCAGGACTGCACCCTGGGCCAAAGGCAGGCACCAAACCACTAAGCCACCCAGGGATCCCCAATTACATGATTTTAGAGAAAAAAATAGGATACCTGTGTTTTGAATTCTAGAATGTTTTTTCCTGGATTAATTCTTCCGAGTAATATCAGATCCTTTATCTGCATACATTTCTTTCTAGGAGCTGTGCTGGAGTTTACAGGCTTTTTAATAATATGTTGACGGCCACGTTCAGAGTGGGAGGAGCTGTGGCTGTCATTAGCACGTCGAACAGTAAAAGCTGTTTTTTTAGGATAAGATTTTGTCTGATGCCCAGTAATACTGCCTAAGACATCAGTCCCTTGATGTGTCAGAGATTCCAATGTCCCCCTACTTGGCTGCTGGGAAGCTATTTTCCTCTTTCCTCTTTTTGGATCACAACTGGTAGGAGCCTGATCACAAACAACAGCTGATGGATGGGCATCATTTCTGGCAAGTATGCTTGTAGTCGCTGCAATGTTTAATGTGTTAGTTACTGCAGAAGGATGATTACAGGGCTCGCACTCTGGGGCTGGAGGCTCTGTGAGATCATTTCCTCTCTGTGAATACTCCCTCTGAGCAGTAAGAGCAACAGGTTGGGAGGGTAATTTAATCTTAGTGCCATCTGCACGTCTGGATTTTGGTGACCCATCGAAGGTACCATCATTGACATTTTGCTTAGAATTCAGCTCATTTCCAGAAAATTCCCTTCTCACTGTTTCTGAATTTACACAAGTGTTGGTATTTGGGCTGCTATTCCAAGTTTCTGGAGACAATGGTGTTTCCTGCATGCTTCCACAAGTAAGGCTGACAAGAGAAAGTGAACCTGACTGGGGCTGCAATGAATTTTCCAGACTGATAAGATCTTGGCTGTCCTTTTCACTAGAGATTGCTGAGCTGGACGGTGGCTTCCTCAAACTAGGACCAGACAAAGATGTAATGTTTTTATAGTTTTGGATTTTCTGGGTAATTTTTTTCTGTTTTTTTGCCACAACTAAAAGGCTCTTCTGTCTTGTGGCCAAGTTAGCCAGCTGTTCTCTCAGGACTCCTTGCTTAAATGATTCTATGGACACCCTACAGAAAGAAACAGAGAAAACAATATGAAAACCGGAGAAAAAATTTTTAGTAGTCATTTAGATTTTAAAGATACTTGTCTTAATTTAATCAGCCCAAAGTACACAAGGGTCTATTTTTGCAATGAATTTCTTCTGAGAGGAAAATGACTCTTAAGGTTACGAGTAAGACTGCCTTTTTATGGAGGTGATGGTGTGGTTTTCCACATTTATATTATTTACCAGTTGTGAGTCAACTCTGAAAAAGAAACAAAATTTGGGATAAGTAGCAACTGATGATCAAGGAGGAATACTATTCTTTAGATTTGGAGGTTGCTTACCTGTTCATAGTGGAAAGGTGTGTCAGGAAGTAACATTTGGGAATAAGTTCCATTTAAGTTCCCATAGAGCTGAAGGAGTGAGACTATTTTGTGAATAATTATACCTGAGCTAGACCTGAGCAATGTCAGTCCATCAAGTAATTACTGTAATTATGCTTTGAATCTGTACTGAATCACTTTCAGGTCCAGAGGGACTACCCAGATAGGCATTAACCTGTGTGACTATAAGGGGCTTGCATTTGAGAGAAAATGGCTAATCTACATACCTTTTTCTTTCGGTTATTCTACAGTGACCTTCAGGACACTAAACTCTTTGTTTCTAGTAGTTCTCAAACTTTTTGGTTTTAGGACTTTTTTAATACCTTTAAAAATTACTGAGGAACTCAAAGGGCTTTTTTTCATATGGATATATCTATCAATATTTACTGTTTTAGAAAATAAAACAGAAATTTTTAAAACAAGAACATTCAAGCATGCTTTCCATTACCTATTAGAATAATGATATCACACTTCATGTGGCCTCTGGAAAATTCCATTACACACTCATTAGAATGTGAGGCAAAAAGGCAAATAATATCTTAGTTTTCTTATAAAAATAGTTTTGACTTCACACACCCCTTGAAATCATCTCAGGGACCCTCAAGGGTCATCCTCAAGCAGCTGCTTTATGGGACAGCAATAGTATAGATATCTGTCTCTCTATCATAGTTTAGAGTTGTTGGTACTGAACTCCAAGCAAAACAGATGTTAAAGTGAGTAGCAGATGAAAATGGAAGAAACAGCAAGAAGAAATTAGATTAACAAACAACTAGTAGCATAAAAGGAGAAAAAATAGTAATATTGCATTTAAAACAGAGTTCAGACAGAAAAATAAAAGTTCATTTTAGATTACATGATTTTAAATCTTATAGCAATATGAATAGATTTACACACCTGCAAACCCAACTGATCAGTAACTTTCCAAAATCCACGGTATATTGTTAATCATAGGACATAAAGGAAAATTGAAGCTAGCCTTCTCCAAAGTCTCCTAGAATATATCCTGCAGTCAGTTACCCACCTGTAGGTCCTACAAGCTCACTTGCATTATACTGACAGGAAAACAGGAAATAGAAATGAATTTGTAATACTTATTCAATGGAGAGAAAAAGCAAAATGAACACAGAAGACTTATAAATGAAAATAGAAAACTGATTTTTAAATAAATTCAGGAAAAAAAACTGAATGTACAATAGATGTCAAGTGCTCATAAGAATATAAAAGAAACTAGAAAGATCACATGTGAATAAAGAATAAGGTCAAAAAGATATCTGCAACCCCATACTCACTGCAGCATTATTAACAATAGCTGAGACATAAAAACAACCTAAATGTCCATCAAAGGATGAATATAGAAAATGTGGTTTAAATAGCCTAACTGTGGAAGGAGCCTCGGAGTCCATCGAAAGATGAATGGATAAAGAAGATGTGGTTTATGTATACAATGGAATATTACTCAGCCATTAGAAACGACAAAAACCCATCATTTGCTTCAATGTGGATGGAACTGGAGGGTATTATGGTGAGTGAAGTAAGTCAATCGAAGAAGGACAAACATTATATGGTCTCATTCATTTGGGGAATATAAAAAATAGTGAAAGGGAATAAAGGGGAAAGGAGGAAAAATGAGTGGGAAATATCAGAAAGGGAGACAGAACATGAAAGACTCCTAACTCTGGGAAATGAACTAGGGGTGGTGGAAGGGGAGGTGGCAGGGGTGGGGTGACTGGGTGATGGGCACTGATGTGGGCACTTGACGGGATGAGCACTGGGTGTTATTCTATATGTTGACAAATTGAACACCAATAAAAAATAAATTAAAAAAAGAAAATGTGGTTTATGTGCACAAGTGCACACACACAGAAGAATATTATTCAGCCATGAAAAAGAAAGAAATCCTGCCAGTTTTGACAGCATGCACAGACCTTGAGAGTATTATATTAGGTGAAAATAAGTCAGACAGAGAAAAACAAATACTGTATGGTCTCACTTATATGTGAAATCTAAAAAACTTCAAAGAACTGAACTCATAGATATAGAGAGCAGATTGGTAGTTGCCAGAGGTGGAAGGTGGAGGGTGGATGAAATGGATAAAGGGAGTCAAAAGGTACAAGTATTCAGTAATAAAATAGAGAAGTCATGAGGATATAATGTACAGCATGGTGACTATAGTTAATGATACTTTATTGTATATTTGAAAGTTGCTAAGAGAGTAAATCTTAAAGTTCTCATTATGAGAAAAAACGGCATATATAGTTAAATCTATGAAAAACTAATAAAAATAATGCCCACATAAGAAAAAAAATATAACATTTTTCTCAAGAAAAGGACAAAAAGAGGTATATAACCAATATATAATCAGGATGAAATCTCTTAAAAACATTGAGGGTTTAGAAATACACAAAACTAAATAATATACATGGTTATAATGCTTAGAAAGACAACATTTGTGATAGCAAAAGGAAAACTTTGTACTGTAAAACATTTAAGTTCACCATGGAAAGAAATTTATTTTGGAGATTCATGACCAGAGACACTTTCACAAAATTCTTTGCTGTAGACAACTTTTTAAGATACGTCTTTTTCTGAATATTTCAAGTAATAAAATATAAAAATATCTTTCTGAAAAGTACAATTCCCCATGGAGGTAATAGATTAGATGACCTCATAAAGTCATTCTTTGGTCCTATGCAACATTCACACTCTTAAGAAATTCTAGATTCTCACTATTATAACTAAGAAGGGAAATATTATGAAAACTCTAAAGCATTTCTATTTTTTCACTCACCTGTATTTTTTAGCCAGATCATCCCTTTCTGCCTTCTGTTTGGCAAGCACATAATCCATAATCTCTTTTATCTCTAACATCTTTTCAATGCATTGTTCTGGAAACATGGTAATAAAAAGTCAGTTAATGATAGAAGAAAGACATCAAATGTTAAGTTTGATCACACAAAACTCAGCCTATTAATTTTAAAAAGCCATTATTAAAAAAATAATTTATTTTTTTAAATTTTTATTTATTTATGATAGTCACACACACACACACACACAGAGAGAGAGAGAGAGAGAGAGAGAGAGAGAGGCAGAGACACAGGCAGAGGGAGAAGCAGGCTCCATGCACTGGGAGCCCAATGTGGGATTCGATCCTGGGTCTCCAGGATCGCGCCCTGGGCCAAAGGCAGGCGCTAAACCGCTGTGCCACCCAGGGATCCCTAAAAAAATAATTTAAAAATAAAATAAAATGCCATTATTTCCTTACCCTGTTCCCTACTATTAGTGGTCCAGATATATAAATCAAAACTCACTGAATTATGCCACCCTATGGAAGTACTCTGAATAGAGCAGGTTAGCCTGAGTTCTAATCCTGCTACTCCACTTAGCTCTGTGAACCTGGACAAGTCACATGACCTTTATAGTCACCTTCCTCATCTGTGAAATGAGGTTAGGAAAGGAAGATAAATAGGAAAATAAATATTTTGTTAAAATTATTTACTTTTTAAAATATAAAGGGCACACACTGTATAAACATTTCAAACAATATGAATGTTTACATAGAAGAAAAGTAAAAAGAAAGTATCCTACTCTCACCTTCTGTTACTCCTCTTTTTCATTTCACAAGAGACTACTGTTTATACTTTGGTAGCAGTGTATTTGTTGGTGTGTGTAAAAGTTTTTAGTATATTTATCTAATGGATTATTCAATGCATATTTATAGTATATGTAACTATATGTGTATGTATGCTATATTCATTATTAAATTTTTATTAATTCATAAATTTAATAATTTAATTTTAATAAAAAAATAATTAAAATAAAATTAATAGTTAATTATTCATTAAACTATATTAGATGTATTTGTTAAGTGTATTATTCTTTTTTTAAATTTATTTATTCATGAGAGACACAGAGAGAAAGAGGCAGAGACACAGGCAGAGGGAGAAGAAGCAGGCTACATGCAGGGAGCCAGATGCAGGACTCGATCCCGGGTCTCCAGGATGACACCCTAGACAGAAGGCAGCGCTATACCACTGAGCCACCCGGGCTTCCCTAAGTGTATTATTCTAGATGTGTTTACCATATGTAACTATATATGTAGTTAGAAATAAAAAGCATGTTATCAGTTCTTGTCCTTTACACTTAACACTTATATAGAGCTGTATGATATCTCAGGTTACTTAAAAGATCTATATAAAATTACTTTTACAATAATTACTTAAAATTTTCCTACTTTCTTCCTCTTCTTCCTAAGTAAAGGCATAATGACTTCCTTCACCGATCACAAATCCACAAGATTTACACATAAATGTCAATTACATCAGAATCCAATTCTCAGGTAGTAAATGGAAATGCTTAAATGAATACATTTAATACATTTAATTTCTGTTAAGCTATTTGTTATTTCACTTTTGGCTTTGTTTCTTAAGTTTTTTCCTAATAATTTTAGGCCAATGCATATTTTTCTAGATAATTTAACTAGATTTTAGACCAATGCATATTTTTCTAGATAATTTACTAGATAATTTCTAGATAATTTAACTAGAAAATCAGTGGTGGGAAATGACTGAAGTTCAGAGTAGGAATTTGTTCCAGAACCCCGCTTTGCAAATTAGACAAATGATATAAATGATTTGGTCAGTATAGAGTCAGTGTTCCCAGAGTAGTTTCTGTCTTATTAGTGCTATGACTAAGGATTAATTCTGTATGATGCATGTGACAACAAAGGGGGGAAACTTGATCATTAAGAATTTAGATATAAATCTGTTTGGCATATTTGACATTTAATAAAAGATGTTTATAGTATCAATGTACCCTGTCACATTGGGTTTTTCTAACTGAATTTTAAATCAGAGGTAGAAATAACATTAGCATAGTAATGAAGAAGATTCTATATTTTTCTATAAAAAAGAACATAAAGAATTTTACATGTAAATTGATACTATATACATATCAGATACATTAATCAGTGGTATCTTGGAACCTAGAAATTGCCCTAATATGTGTAAGATTTTAATATATGATTATAAGGCATTAGAAAAGCAACGAGGATGACAGAAATTATTCAACAAATAAGAGGCAGAGTAGTAATATGGGGGGTGGGAGACTCTATTCTATCCTTGTTTTGTACCACATGTGGAAAAGAGATTTCAAATGAATAACAGAGTTAAAATGCTTAGGAAAAAATAATGTATGAAATGTTCAGACTAAACATTCTTATGGTCAGTTTATTTGAGGCACTAAAGATATCTGATATCAAAGTGAATGCAAGACATCTATAACAAAAACTCAAAGAGAAATGTACACAGTGGGATTCATTATTCTTAGATCCCTCAGCCAGATCAGAATACAGGGTGGTGAATTTGTAAAAATACTTCGGAGAGCTATTGCTCAAGTGGATGGGAATCTCATTCTGAGGAGCCAAGGTGAAAGGCGAGGAGATTTCTTTCCTTTATCTCAAGCCCAATGGGAGCAGCCTCTGAAGAGAGTAATAACTTTTTTTGGTGACAATGGACTCACATCCACTTCCTTCTTGAACATGTAGAGATTGAGACCCTGCAGAGCCAGCAAGACATTCGGACAGTTGGGGAAAGGGAAAGTTGCTCCTGTACTCAAAATTAACTATCCTCCCTTCTAATCACAGGTCCAAAGTGCCAGGATTCTGAGGACTTGGTGTGGAGGCCGCTCTGTGATCCTGACTATGATGGCTTTTCCCTGAAAGAAAGAGCCTGTGTAGGGTGGATTACCTAAAAAAAAAATTAAAAAATAAAATTAAAAAATAAAAAAAAAGAGCGAGAGAGACTGAGAGGAGCCAGGGAAAGGAAAATGTACGCTGCCCTGCTATACTATAGGAGCCAGGTAGAAGTCTCAGAACAGCCTCAGAAAACTGCTCTGAAGAGACTAAGTTTTATTTATTTATTTTTTTAAATGACATTTCATTTTTTTATTTCTTAATTTATGATAGGCACACAGTGAGAGAGAGAGAGAGAGGCAGAGACACAGGCAGAGAGAGAAGCAGGCCCCATGCACCAGGAGCCCGACGTGGGATTCGATCCCGGGTCTCCAGGATCGCGCCCTAGGCCAAAGGCAGGCGCCAAACCGCTGCGCCACCCAGGGACCCCCCGAGACTAAGTTTTAGACATTTGCCAAAGACTGATGAAGTCAGTAACAGTCAGTATTGGGACACCTGGGTGGTTCAGTGGTTGGGCGTCTGCCTTTGGCTCAGGGCATGATCCCAGTTCAGGATGGAGTCCCACATCAGGCTCCATGTGGGGAGCCTGCTTCTCCCTCTGCCTGTGTCTCTGCTTCTCCCTTTTTGTGTCTCTCATGAATAAATAAATAAAATCTTAAAAAAAACAGTCAGTATTTAGTTACTAAACAAGAACTCAAGAGTCCCATTGCCTTACCTTTCTATCCTCCCTTAAAGAGGCAGTGAGACGAAAATAAAGGGATCCTGCTAGTCATTGTATTGGTTATAAAATTAAATTACAAAGCATAGGGATGGGGAGGGGAGAAAAATTTATCATCTTAAAAGCATTAAAAGGAAAAAGGCTGATATTTTACTATACAGAATTTGAAAATATATATACTTAAGCATAAATTAACACATTACACATAAAAAGACAGTTAAGCTGAAAAACATATTTGCAGCGATTATGGCAGGAAAGGGTCAATAGCTTGATCATATAAAATGGCTCCAATTTATTAATAGACAAACAGGAACAACTTCACAAAAGCAGGAAATAAAACTAGAGAAAAAATACCACTAATAATCAAAAAGACAGGTGAATATATGAGGCATTTTTCTTATTACACTACTAAAATTAAATGAAAATACTGACGCTATTAGCAGTATAAAGGAAACAAACACTAATGTGTGTTGCTGAAAGTGTAAATTATTATCTAATACCTTATAAAACAATTTACCAATACAAATTATCAGGTTTTAAAGTGTTTATAAATTTTTGACCCAGTAGTTCCAATTCTGGTAATCCTTCCAAAGAAGATAATCCTAAATTCAGAAAGGTATATGCTAAAGATTAGCAAAAAATTGGAAAAATGTAAATGTTCAACAAAAAGGGAAAAATGAATTCCTGGAACATTTATAGAACAGGATACTATGCAAACCACTAAGAATAATGGGTATGGTGGAAAAATGTAAAATTGGCAAGTTTAGCATGATCCAAACTCTGTTTTTAATAATTTTATTGAGGTATAACTATGTAATTAAATTCTTAGAAAAAAATAAAGGAAATATATACAACAAAATATTGTGGTGAGACAGGATGTAATTTTAGCACATTTTTCTTCTTTATTATATTTTGAAGCGCATTTATATATACCATTTTAATAAAAAAATTATAAAATTGGAAATTCACCTTAGGTGTATAAGATATTGTAAATACTAAATAAAATATATGAATTATTCACATTTGCTTTATAGTATAAATTATTTTGTATTATTTTCCTCAAAACATAACATGTACCATGTGTTAGGCCAAGATGAAAGGTAGAATGGGTATAATTTAAAAGGAAATAATTTTTTAAAGACTATATACAGTATGAGCTAGGACAAGAGATGAATTAATAGTTGTATCCTGTTACATGAAAGACTGATGACATTCTTCAAGTTATTTTTTAGCTAACTACTTTAACATTCAGATCTGCATCTTTCAGGAGCTAATTTCTATCTGTAAATCATAACTCAAGAAAACACAACTGTGACCTACCAAAGATTTGCAAATATTCACTGACATTTTGAGAAATTCAGATTATTAGGTCAGGGATCAAAGTCAAGTTTACCATTTTGAACCACTAGTGTTTTTTTAAAAAGGAAGACAGCTATCCACTAAGACATTTACTGGGTCTATCTGCTCATCTGAAAGGCATGAGGATTTGCCTTACTTGAGTCACAACGGTCTATTCCTTTTCTGATCTGTTTTTAAGGGTTTCGATAGCTGGGTGAAACTGAGGAGCTAAGTAGTAACATAATCTCATCTCTAGTCACTATCTTATGCTTTTTTTCCACATCTTCATCTAAACTTATCACCAGTAGTAGCTTATCTCTGACCATGGTTCTGAGTGTCTCTCATATTACTCATGCATGTTATACCTTAAGTCTCGAAATATCTTGATTAACAATTACACTAACCACTGGTTTGCATAAATGACTTCTGATGCTCATTCCTGGTACTTTCTTATCACATAAAAAAAGGTTACTTTTCAGCCACTGTTAAGTAAGCTTTGATATAAGATATACCTTAAGAAGCTAAGGGAGCAATGACCTTGGATGTATGAAATAATCAAACTTGAGTATGGGTCCATATTTACCTGCATCTTCAGGGGTTCGTATTTCAAATTCTAGTAAATTTCCTTGTTTTTCTTCTATATCTTGTAGAATGGCACTGATGGCCTGATGCTATCAGATAAAAATATTAAAAACTTTATTATAAGAAGTAGATATTTCTCTCTGATATGCAATTGTCAAATGTACAGTAAAAGTGCCAAAGAAAGTGCTGCTAAAATGCTCATTTCACTTTATGTTCAAAATGTATTCATGTTTTGTTTAAACTTAACTGTATATATGTTATGCATTTGGGGGAACAAGTAAACTTAAATATTTTGATTTATGTTGCAGATCAACTCCTGGTAAATAGAATACAAGAGTAGCAACCATATAAAGAATCATAATTTCTTGGGGCACCTGGGTGGCTCAGTTGGTTAAGCTTCTACCTCCTGCTCAGGTACTGATCCCAGGGTCCTGGGATCAAGCTGTGAGTCAGGCCCTCTGCTCAGCAGGGAGTCTGCTTTTCCCTTTCACTCTCCCTCTGTGCTCTCTCTCTCACACATAAATAAATAAATAAAATCTTTTTCAAAAACCAGAATTTCTCACTGACTTCTGTTATAATCATACCTGTAGGTGAAAAAAGAACAACTCAGTACATAATATTTAAAGATCATATATATGCAATAAGTTCACTTTAAGGTTTTATGACCATCACTGCACACTATTAAAATCTCACACATAATCTTAAAAATACAAAACACTACTCTCTTAAAAATTTACAAATGGGATTTAAGTCCCTCTCTATGCCCTTGTTGGTACTGACTGTCCTGCCTGGGATGTCTTCAATTTACTTTGCCCAGATCCATCCATCTCTTTGTTTTGAGAGATGTAATCATGGAATGGATTCTGGAACTAGACTGCTTGGGTGTGAATTCTGGCTTTACCTCTTCCTAGCTGGGTGGCTACAGCATATTACTTGTTCTCTTCTTACCTGAATAGAGTAACACATCTAAAGTGCTTAGGACAGTGCCAGCACAAAGTAAGAGCTCAATAAGTACTGCTTATTATCATATAAAACCCATTTCCTATGAAACTTCTAACTAATCTAATTCATATTCATTTCTCCTCTCTCAGCATTACTTAAGAATTTCAGGAGTTTATAATATAGCATTATATATATATATATATATATATAAATTATATATAATATATATAATGTTTTACACATTGTATTTCTCCATCAAAATAAAAAAATCTTATAGGCAGGAGCATAAATTTTGTATTTGTGAATGGTTTCCACACCATGGGATATATAGCTGGTGCTCAGTAAATGAAAACTGATAGACTGACTCATATCATCTATTCTTTAATACATTCTCAATACACGTTCATTTAAAAATGTGTTGGTCCTCAAAGCCTTCTAAAGTACATTGCCCTGAATTTTTACTTTGGCACCTACAAGGGACATGAAAAATGCACATAATAAAACCATCCAACTATGTGGAAAAGCTATATCAATGCTGTCATTTATGAAATGCATCAGAGCAGAACTATAAAATATGACTATGCAAAACAAACAGACAAAATAAAGTTTATCTCTTTTTTACACTGAATGGCTATAAAAGCAAACTAAAGGTCTGAACCTGAGCCCTGGCCAAGCCACTACCCAAAGGTCAGAATAAAGAAAACATTTTTTGGTGCTGATTGTCCATTTTGCTTTGCTCTTATTGTGGATGCATTCAGTCTTGGTACCATGGGCATTAACCTTAAATTCCACACAAGCTTTACCTTCTACCATGAAGGGGCAGCATAAACTTCCCTCCAAGATCCCCCTTCTTAGTCCTTATTTTGCTTGTTTATCTTTTTTAAAAAAACAGCACCAAAAAACCTAACCTAGAATATATCTTTGGAACAAGTAGCTTTAGACAGTTTATATATGCTTACAGAAGGACTCACTATAATTTTATTCCAAATTTCTTATCTTTACTATGGCAGGATCCTTTGCCCCTGACATCTCTCTTACAATTTTGTACAATATAGCAGTGGTTAGAAGCACAAGCTCTGTAGCCAGACTGCCTGGCATTGCTTTAATTCTGGTATTGCTACTTAACAGAAACGTAATTTTGGATTAGGTTACTTAACTGTTTTTACTTTAGCTTTCTCAACTGTAATAAGGAAGATAATGAAAATCACAGAATGCTCCCAGAAGGGTTATTATGAGGACTAAATGAGTTAACATAAGGACTTAGAGGACAGTTTATCATATAATAAGTACTCAGTGAATGCCAACTATTAGCATTATTACTCCATGTACACAGGTATAGAGAAGGAGGCTGCCAATATGCTGTGATCTGAAGGTGTTACAAAGCAGCAGCAAACTACCATAGTTTGCATCTGGCCATAAAGTTACCCTTCTCTCCAGTATGATTTGAAGTTTCCAACACTCAAAAGTTTACATTTATAAAAGAGTAACTGTTAATGACTTTAAAGACTTTGTATTTCTTGAGTTTTCCTCCTTTTCTAAAGTTGATTTTTTTCTTTTTTTAATTGTAGTTGACACATAATATTACATTAACTTCAGATGTACAACAGTAATTTGATGAGTTTATATGTTATATTATGTTCACCACAAGTATAGCTACTATCTTGCCACCAAACACCACTATTATAATATCACTGACTGTATTACTTACACTTATCTTTTATTCCTGTGACTTAATCATTTCATAACTGGAAACATACCTCTCACTCCCCTCACCCATTTTACTCATCCCTTTACCCAAAATCCGTTTTCTATAGACTCCTGTATCTCCACACTTTTTCCAAAGCTTGGCATGTGAAATGATATACATTACTACTGAAGCAAACACTCATATAGTCAATAACAACAGTAGTTTTTCCAAGATGTTCTCATCTTTACCTGAAAATATACCTTAAAGATACTTACGGTCAATATGGTGGGCTGAGCTAATATAGAACAACCTCTGCCCACTTCAAACACATGAAAATAGTAGACAAAATACAATAAATTTAAAAAAAAGATTGTATGAGAGAGAGAGAGAGAGAGAGAGAGAGAGAGAGAGAAAACGAGTGGGGGAGGGGAAGAAGGAAAAGCAGACTTCCCGCTGAGCAGGGAGCCAGATGTAGAACTCAATCCCAGGACCCTGGGATCATGACCTGAGCCAAAGGCAGATGCTTAATCAACTGAACCACCCAGGTGCTCCAACTTTAAATATACACACACAAAAATGGAAAATGAATGAAAAACTCCCTGATGTCATAAATGCTATTGGAGCTATTGGTGGCCCAATGGGAATTTGGAACAAATATGGTATTGGGGCTAGGTTTTTAATGCACACAAAGAAACAAGAGTAATAAAGGTAGTGCATAAAGGTAGTGACCTTTAGGTCAAATAAAGGTTAGAAAAACTCTACTTGCCTCCATCCAAGGCTTTGGGTAGAAAATAAGAGACTCAAACCTATATCACAAATGTATGTAAGAACTACATTTATATAATTTGTGTGGTTCAGGAATCCAAACTGAGAAATTAGCATAAAAACTTGTGTGAAATAGGGCCCCAGCAGAGGAAATGTTCAGCACAAAGCCTAAGCACACCAAAATTCCCACAGTTATCAGTCTTCACTTAAATGAGATTACAATAAAAAATTAAAAACCACATAAAGAATCATGTTATCATGAAAAAGAATCAGGAAGAGACTTTAAAATTCCCTTTAAAAATGTTTGGATTTTTAAAAATACTATCAATATTATAAGAGCAGAAAAATCTTATTGTTATTTCATTCTTTCTTTAAAACAAAAATTTGAAAAGCAAACAGAATTTTTAGAAATAAAAAACACAGTCATTTAAATTAAAGGCTCAATGTATGGGTTAAATAGATTAGAAATATTTGAGGAGTTAAACAATGAATTGGGAGAGAGGGCAAAGGATATTCCACAGAATGTAGTGTGGATGGGATGCCTGGGTGGCTCAGTGGCTGAGCATCCACCTTTGGCTCAGGTTGTGATCCTGGGGTACTGGGATCGAGTCCCACATCAGGCTCCCCAAAGGGAGCCTGCTTCTTCCTCTACCTATGTCTCTGCTTTGCTCTGCCTTTCCCTCTGTGTCTCTCATGAAAAAGTGAATAAAATCTTTTAAAAAAAAAAGAACATAGTGTGGAGAGGTAGAGATGGAAAATATGAAGAAGATACTAAAAGACATGGAAACCGGTCTAACAGACATCTGAATAGAAGTTCCAAAACAGAAAAATACTGAATGGAGGAGGGGCAACTGTCAAAGGTATAAGAACAGAGAGAGTTCCTGAAATACAAATGAGAAACGTGCCTTCAGATTAAAGGAGCATTTCTAGGTCTGAGTATTTTTTTTAATTTTTTTTATTTATTATTTATGATAGTCACAGAGAGAGAGAGAGAGAGAGAGAGAGAGAGAGAGAGAGATGCAGAGACATAGGCAGAGGGAGAAGCAGACTCCATGCACCGGGAGCCCGACGTGGGATTTGATCCTGGGTCTCCAGGATCACGCCCTGGGCCAAAGGCAGGCACCAAACTGCTGCGCCACCCGGGGATCCCTAGGTCTGAGTATAATTAATAAAAATGCTCCACATTTAGATACAACTTAGTGAAACTGGAGTACATTAAAGCTCTAAGATTAAAAGACAGAGTATCTACAAGGGAATGACAATTAGATTGATGGCTGACTTTCTGTCCTTGACAACAGATACCAGGAAACAATGTAAAACATTTTTGAAGTACTGAGGCAAATGCAATTTAGTTTGAATACCACTTAAAATGAAATATTTTGTTGATTAATAGTTTAGAATCAATGAATGACATATCTTCTTGACAGTGACTAACAGAAAGCATATAAGAAAAGTCTAAACTGGGATCCCTGGGTGGCGCAGCGGTTTGGCGCCTGCCTTTGGCCCAGGGCGCGATCCTGGAGAGCCCGGATCGAATCCCACGTCGGGCTCCCGGTGCATGGAGCCTGCTTCTCCCTCTGCCTGTGTCTCTGCCTCTCTCTCTCTCTCTCTCTCTCTCTCTCTGTGTGTGTGTATGTGTGTGTGGGGGACTATCATAAATAAATAAAAATTAAAAAAAAGAAAAGAAAAGTCTAAACAACATAGTGTTTTTTTTAAGATTTTATTTATTTATTTATGAGAGACCCAGACAGAGGCAAAGACACATGCAGAGAGAGAAGCAGGCTCTGTGCAGGAGCCTGATGCAGGACTCAATCCCAGGACCCCAGGATAACAACCTGAGCCAAGGCAGATGCTCAAACAAAGAGCCACCCAGATGCCCCTCAACAGTCTTATTCAAAATAATATTTAATTGGGGATGCTACTTTCTTAAGAAGTTAGTTTCTAGTAAGCTTTATGTTTTTCACAAGTTACACATACACATCTTAACTGACATTTTTACTGAGCAATTACTATGTTATTTGTGTAAAAATTCACTATTATATGAGGAGTTTCACATGCAGCAACCACTATCACTATAAACCATGTGAGATTCCACGTTGGCTAACCCCAGTTGCTTTCCTCTTTTCTGCCTGGGTTCCAGGGTTTTTTCTACCTACTATGCATCCTAAAACTTCTTTGGAGGAGTGGGTGGGTGAAGATACAATATGATAGTGGCAGGCACCATGGGACAAGAAGTAACTAAAGAACATAACCAATAGAGAGATCCCCCCCTAAAATCAATAAAAAGCGTTCAACACCTCGGCATTTAATAGTGAAGCTTGCAAATTCCAAAGATAAAGAGATGATCCTTAAAGCAGCAAGAGACAAGAAGTCCCTGACTTTCATGGGGAGGAATATTAGGGTAACAGCAGACCTCTCCACAGAGACGTGGCAGGCCAGAAAGGGCTGGCAGGATATATTCAGGGTCCTAAATGAGAAGAACATGCAACCAAGAATACTTTATCCAGCAAGGCTCTCATTCAAAATGGAAGGAGAGATAAAGACCTTCCAAGACAGGCAGGAACTGAAAGAATATGTGACCTCCAAACCAGCTCTGCAAGAAATTTTAAGGGGGACTCTTAAAATTCCCCTTTAAGAAGAAGTTCAAAGGAACAATCCACAAAAACAACGACTGAATAGATATCATGATGACACTAAGCTCATATCTTTCAATAGTAACTCTGAACGTGAACGGGCTTAATGACCCCATCAAAAGGCGCAGGGTTTCAGACTGGGTAAGAAAGCAGGACCCATCTATTTGCTGTCTATAAGAGACTCATTTTAGACAGAAGGACACCTACAACCTGAAAATAAAAGGTTGGAGAACCATTTACCATTCAAATGGTCCTCAAAAGAAAGTAGGGGTAGCCATCCTCATATCAGATAAACTAAAATTTACCCCGAAGACTGTAGTGAGAGATGAAGAGGGACACTATATCATACTTAAAGGATCTATCCAACAAGAGGACTTAACAATCCTCAATATATATGGCCCGAATGTGGGAGCTGCCAAATATTTAAACCAATTAATAACCAAAGTGAAGAAATGCTTAGATAATAATACACTTATACTTGGTGACTTCAATCTAGCTCTTTCTACCTTCGATATGTCTTCTAAGCACAACATCTCCAAAGAAACGAGAGCTTTAAATGATACACTGGACCAGATGGATTTCACAGATATCTACAGGACTTTACATCCAAATGCAACTGAATACACATTCTTCTCAAGTGCACATGGAACTTTCTCCAGAATAGACCACATACTGGGTCACAAATCGGGTCTGAACCGATACCAAAAGATTGGGATCATCCCCTGCATATTCTCGGACCATAATGCCTTGAAATTAGAACTAAATCACAACAAGAAGTTTGGAAGGACCTCAAACACGTAGAGGTTAAGGACCATCCTGCTAAAAGATGTAAGGGTCAACCAGAAAATTAAGGAAGAATTAAAAAGATTCATGGAAACTAATGAGAATGAAGATACAACCATTCAAAATCATTGGGATGCAGCAAAAGCAGTCCTAAGGGGGAAATACATCGCAATACAAGCATCCATTCAAAAACTGGAAAGAACTCAAATACAAAAGCTAACCTTACACATAAAGGAGCTAGAGAAAAAACAGCAGATAGATCCTACACCCAGCAGAAGAAGAGAGTTAATTAAGATTCGAGCAGAACTCAAAGAAATAGAGACCAGAAGAACTGTGGAAAAGATCAACAAAACCAGGAGTTGGTTCTTTAAAAGAATTAATAAGATAGATAAACCATTAGCCAGCATTATTAATAAGAAGAGAGAGAAGACTCAAATTAATAAAATCATGAATGAGAAAGGAGACATCACTACCAACACCAAGGAAATACAAACGATTTTAAAAACATATTATGAACAGCTATAAGCCAATAAATTAGGCAATCTAGAAGAAATGGATGCATTCCTAGAAAGCCACTAACTACAAAAACTGGAACAGGAAGAAATAGAAAACCTGAACAGGCCAATAACCAGGGAGGAAATTGAAGCAGTCATCAAAAACCTCCCAAACACAAGAGTCCAGGGCCATATGGCTTCCCAGGGGAATTCTATCAAATGTTTAAAGAAGAAATCATACCTATTCTACTAAAGCTGTTTGGAAAGATAGAAAGAGATGGAGTACTTCCAAATGCATTCTATGAGGCCAGCATCACCTTAATTGCAAAACCAGACAAAGACCCCACGAAAAAGGAGAATTACAGAACAATATCCCTGATGAAATGGATGCAAAAATTCTCAACAAGATACTAGCCAATAGGTTCCAACAATACATTAAGAAAATTATTCATGATGACCAAGTAGGATTTATCCCCAGGACACAAGGCTGGTTCAACACTCGTAAAACAATCAATGTGATTCATCATATCAGCAGGAGAAAAACCAAGAACCATATGATCCTCTCATTAGATGCAGAGAAAGCATTTGACAAAATACAGCATCCATTCCTGATCAAAACTCTTCAGAGTGTAGGGATAGAGGGAACTTTCCTCAGCATCTTAAAAGCCATCTATGAAAAGCCCACAGCAAATATCATTCTCAATGGGGAAGCACTGGGAGCCTTTCCCCTAAGATCAGGAACAGACAGGGATGTCCACTCTCACCACTGCTATTCAACATAGTACTGGAAGTCCTAGCCTCAGCAATCAGACAACAAAAGGACATTAGAAGGCATTCAAATTGGCAAAGAAGAAGTCAAACTCTCCCTCTTCGCCGATGACATGGGCTCCATTTCAACATGTAATTCCAATCCAATAGGATCATATGGTATATAAATTAAACCATGTTTGGAAATGCCAAGTTCCAAAAATAAAAAATGCTTTTCAAGAGTTTAGTAAGCACACAAAACATTTACCCCAGTTATGAAACAATTTACACTACAAATCTGAAGATTTATTTTTCTAAGCAGAGGTATGTATACACTTGTATAAGAGAGCAAGCAATACTGACATACATACCAGTGACTGTAGCATTACTTTCATTTCTATTATCAGTCTCAATTGCACCAAAAGATATCAGTAGCTCTTTCATTTTTTCATTATCTGCTTCATCCAAAGCAGTTTTCTGTTTTTGATTCTTTTGATTTGGGTTTGCTCCATGTGGTAGTAGAATCTCAGCTGCCTACAAGGTATTTTTCCAAAGTTATCCCTACAGACACCTAAGATCAATAATTTCTGCTTTCATTATAATACACCACTATTAAAAGTTATCAAAGTATTAAAAGTTATCAAAAGAAGTTTCAAATGCTAGCCAAGAAAATTTTTTATTAAATTTTATATGAAAGCTATAAAATAATTTAATGATTTGGCCTGACCTGTCCTCAAGAAGAACCAAACAATGACATGAAAATACCGGAGATGCTGCCTTCATTGCAGTTAAGAAGCACACACAGGTAGAATGATATACAAGACTGACTCTATCTCTTTAACAGAGCCCTTGTCCTTTCCTCCAACCTGCATCACTATATTTTAGGTATGTTACTTGTTCAAGAAGTTTAATGAGCTAGCTTGAAAATCCAATGACCCTTCTAATAGTATCTGAATATATTTGTTATGTGTCCTAAATAAGTGAATTATATGCACAGAATCTTAAAGGTAAAAGGAAATTTAGAAATAATCTACTCCAACCTGATCATCTTACAGAAGAGGAAACTGAGGTCAAAGAGGTTGTAACATTGGGTGGGGGATGGTTTCTAACATAAATAAGGTTTCTCTGAATAACTCAAAGCTGTTATATATTGGGAGTTTGTAAATGATCAAAGTTAAAGATGTTACTAATTAGCTATGGTAGAAGTCAACTAGTGAAAAACAGCCAATGATTCCATCTGTGTGAGTCAAGTAAGGGACTCAAATCACTGAAAAACCGGAGTAGAAAAACATGGTCAGGATTTTGTTTAAAATAGAGATATGCTCTGTGTTAGTGGCTTATCTTTTCTCCTTATGTCCAGGTATGGAGAAGCAGAGAAATTTAGGAGTAAATGGGCCAATGAAGATGATAAGGATAGCCCCTCATTTATCCCATCAGCCCAGAGTTCGCACAAGAGAAATTAGCTTAAGAGAAAATATGTTTGTTTTAAAATCAAGCATACAAAACTCATTCCTGCTACCTACTAGCTATGTCCTTGAGCAAGTTATTTACCATTTGAACCTCATTTTTATCACCTAAAAGAACTAAATGTGAGCCTCTGTCAAACACCATATTCATAATGGATTATTTTTTAATAAATTTATTTTTTATTGGTGTTCAATTTGTCAACATACAGAATAACACCCAGTGCTCATCCTGTCAAGTGCCCATCTCAGTGCCCGCCACCCAGTGACCCCCACCCCCCGCCCACCTCCCCTTCCACCACCCCTAATGGATTCTTTTTTTTTCCCCTAATGGATTCTTAATGAAAGTCCCCTAAGCCCCCTTTTTCTCTAGAGGAGTAAAAAGACCAACTTAAGTAATGAGGGACAGTGGATAATAAATAGCATATGAAGAAAGTCTCCAACAAAGATTTTTGATAAAAACTTACTGAAGTCTGAGTAAAGGTATTTTGTTTTGTTTTTTAAAAGAGGGAGTGAGTGGGCAGCAGGGGGTGGCTCAGCAGTTTGGTGCCGCCTTCAGCCCAGGGTGTGATCCTGGAGACCCGGGATTAAGTCCCACATCAGGCTCCCTGCATGGAGCCTGCTTCTCCCTCTGCCTGTGTCTCTGCCTCTCTCTCTCTCTCTCTGGTCTCTCATGAATAAATAAATAAAATCTTTACTATATATTTGGGAGGAAGAAAGGTAGTTTTTTTGTTGTTGTTCTTTAACAAAGGAAGCTTTTCTGGACTTAAAAATTACACTATATTAATAATGACTATTTTGTGTGTTAAGATGAGGCCTTCCTACAGGAAGGCTTTGACCTTTAATGTGTTAACATGGACTCATTTAATATATTAGTTTGGAAGACACAGAGAACTCAGCTCAGATGGAATAGGACCCTGAACAGCTGTTTCCGTAAGGGTCATGCGTAGGCAAAAGTGTAAGAGAATAGCAACAGCACAAAAAGGCACTTAGCAGGCAAGGCGAAAGCTATAGTTGGGAGAGAGTTCCAGGTAACATGATGGGGTAGACCTAAGGAACAAAGAATATGACAAAAATTAGGTGACCAAGAAGTAGGCCCCTTGCCTTTTTTTTTTTTATAATCAGCTTTACTGGAGTAATCACTACTATAACCATGACTCAGAAACATTCCATCATTATAAAAAAATCCATATATTTCCATTTCAAAACCAGACAAAGACCCCACCAAAAAGGAGAATTATAGATCAATATCCCTGATGAACTCAGATGCAAAAATTCTCAACAAGAAACTAGCCAATAGGATCCAATAGTACATTAAGAAGATTATTCACCATGACCAAGTGGGATTTATCCCCGGGATGCAAGGCTGGTTCAAAATGAGAAGCAATCAACATGAGAGATCACATCAACAAGAGAAAAAACAAGAACCATATGATCCTCTCATTAGATGCAGAGAAAGTATTTGACAAAATACAGCATCCATGCCTGATCAAAACTCTTCAGAGTGTAGGGATAGAGGGAACATTCCTCAACATCTTAAAAGCCATCTACGAAAAGCCCACAGCAAATATCATTCTCAATGGGGAAGCACTGGGAGCCTTTCCCCTAAGATCAGGAACATGACAGGGATGTCCACTCTCACCACTGCTATTCAACATAGTACTGGAAGTCCTAGCCCTAGCAGTCAGACAACAAAAGGAAATAGAAGGCATTCAAATTGGCAAAAAAGAAGTCAAACTCTCCCTCTTCGCAGATGACATGATAGTGTACATAGAAAACCCAAAAGACGCCACTCCAAGATTGCTAGAACTCATACAGCAGTGTGGCAGGATACAAAATCAATGCCCAGAAATCAGTGGCACTTCTATACACTAACAATGAGACTGAAGAAAGAGAAATGAAGGAGCAAATGCCACTGACAATTTCACCCAAAAGAATAAGATACCTAGGAATAAACCTAACCAAAGAGGTAAAGGATCTATACCCTAAAAACTACAGAACACTTCTGAAAGAAATTGAGGAAGACACAAAGAGATGAAAAAATATTCCATGCTCGGGCAGCCCCAGTGGCGCAGCGGTTTAGCGCCGCTTGCAGCCCGGGGTGTGATCCTGGAGACCCAGGATCGAGTCCCGCATTGGGTTCCCTGCATGGAGCCTGCTTCTCCTTCTGCCTGTGTCTCTGCCTCTCTCTCTCTGTGTCTCTCATGAATAAATAAATAAAATATTAAAAAAATATTCCATGCTCATGGATTGGAAGAATTAATATTGTGAAAATATCAATGTTACCAAGGGCAATTAACACATTTAATGCAATCCCTATCAAAATACCATGACTTTCTTCAGAGACTTGGAACAAATAATCTTAAGATTTGTATGGAATCAGAAAAGACCCAGAATAGCCAGGGGAATACTTTTTTTAAAAAATAATAAATTTATTTCTTATTGGTGTTCAATTTGCCAACATACAGAATAACATCCAGTGCTCATCCCATCAAGTGCCCCCCTCAGTGCCCGTCACCCATTCACCCCCACTCCCTGTCCTCCTCCCCTTCCACCACCCCTAGCTCGTTTCCCAGAGTTAGGAGTCTTTATGTTCTGTCTCCCTTTCTGATATTTCCTACCCATTTCTTCTCCCTTCCCTTCTATTCATAGCCAGGGGAATACTGAAAAAGAAAACCAGAGCCGGGGGCATCACAATGCTGGATTTCAGGTTGTACTACAAAGCTGTGATCATCAAGACAGTACCATAAGATTTTATGGTACTGGCATAAAAACAGACACATTGATCAATGGGACAGAATAGAGAACCCAGAAATGGGCCCTCAACTCTATGGCCAACTAATATTTGACAAAGCAGGAAAAACTATCCACTGGAAAAAGGACAGTCTCTTCAATAAATGGTGCTGGGAATATTGGACCGCCATGTGCGGAACAATGAAACTAGATCATTCTCTTACACCAGACACAAAGATAAACTCAAATGGATGAAAGATCTAAATGTGATATAAGAATCCATCAAAATCCTAGAGGAGAACACAGGAAACAGCCTTTTTTACCTTGGCCACAGCAACGTCTTGCAAGACACATCCATGAAGGCAAGGGAAACAAAAGCAAAAATGAACTATTGGGGCTTAATCAAGATAAAAAGCTTCTGCACAGCAAAAGAAACAGTCAACAAAACTAAAAGACAACCTACAGAATGGGAGAAGATATTTGCAAACGACATATCAGATAAAGGGCTAGTATTCAAAACCTATGAAAAACTTATTAAACTCACAGCAAAGAAACAAACAATCCAATCATGAAATGGGCAAAAGACATGAACAGAAATTTCACCAAAGACATACACATGGCCAACAGCACATGAGAAAATGTTCCAAACACCAATAAAAAAATAAATTTATAATAAAAAAAGAAAATGTTCTGCATCATTCGCCATCAGCAAAATATAAATCAAAAACACAATGAGAAAACAAATGAAAAAACTCTGGATGATAGCCCACTCATCTGGTATTACTATTATTATTATTTTTTTAAGTAGGCTCCATAACCAGGATGGAGCCCAGTCTAGGGCTTGAACTCATGACCCTGAGATCAAGACCTGAGCTGAGATCAAGTGTGAGACATTTAACTGGTAGAGCCACTCAGGTGCCCCTTTCTGATATTCTTCTTCTTCTTTTTTTTAAGATTTTATTTATTTATTTATTTATTTATTTATTTATTCATTCATTCATTCATTCATTCATGAGAGACACACAGAGAGAGGCAGAGACACCGGCAGAGGGAGAAGTAGGCTCCATGCAGGGAGCCTGATGTGGGACTTGATCCTGGGACTCTGGGATCATGACTTGAGCCCACCTGAGCCGAAGGCAGAGAAGTTTAACTACTGAGCCACCCAGGCATCCTGAGGAATCACTTTAATGCTCAGTTTAAAATATCTTCATTTTCTTCACTTGTTTCTCTAAGAAAAAGTAATAGGAACCCAATCTGATGTGCATTGTACCTTTAAATGATTGTTGGCAGCAGCATCATGTAAGGGAAGAATCCCATCTAGTTTTTCAAAATTAACATTAGCACCAGCTTTTAACAACTCTACAATTCTATCATGAGATCTCTTAGTAGATGTCTTATGAAGTGGTGTCCAACCTAAAAAAGGAAAAAAGAACAAAACAAGCTGCTGCTTACAAACCAACATTCATTAATATCTTCATTAATAAGGTAATTTGCACTATTGCAATGAGTACCTATATTGATTCAAATATACATACTAAGTATTTACAAGAAATAATATTGAAAACCATGGCCCTAAAATGTTTCAATTTTTAAAACAAACCAATCTCATCAAAAAGATTGGTTGATCCAAGTGCCAAAACAGAAGACTCACAGAACATAAAATATAATGGGACTAGAGTAAATAAAAATCATGTCAATTTGTTTCATCTTAGATATTAAAATAGAGTAAGATCTAGTCTGTCTTCCCTATCTGTATCACTGCATTGTCACATATCTCTTCAAAATGACATAGAATGCCTGAAATCAATATTTGAGATTTTCCCTCTGTTAAGACCTCACATATGACTTTCTCGTGCTTGAGCAAAATATTAGAAGATGAATTTAAAAATGGAGGCTGAAAATAAAAATAAGGAAAGAGACAACAAATAGTGTAAAGAGAGGAGAAAGAGAGGGAACAGGGAAATGAAAAAAAAAAACTGACATTTTCTCCAAAGCAAGAGAATAGTATTAAGATCTCCAAGGAAAAGACCTAAATAAAGCTCTCCTTACTCTCCAATATGTATACTCCCTCTGAATGCTCCCACATGTAAGTTAAAAACTATTTCAGAGGAGGTTATTTTAGCAATTGGTGAAAACCACGATGAACTTAACTATTAATTAAATGATATATTATTAAGACAGTTCAAAGTTAGCAGCCAGGATCAAAACTGGGGTAGGGTGGATGAAATGTGGATTTCAGGGAGTTCAAGTTATAAACACAATGAAAATTTCAAGAATCCAAACCTGCATTGTCTTTTAGATTCACATCTGCTTCAGATTCTATTGGAGCCTTCACCAGAGACAAAGTTCCTCTTCTGGCAGCCAAATGAAGCCGGCGCTCCCCTCGGGCACGCCTCTTATTGATCCCAGCTGTCTTCATTTCTGTAAATTTGCCAAGCAAAACTGAGACTACTTTTCTGCTAAATGCTGATCATTACAAAGGAGCTTAGAAAGTACACAGCAACTTCCTCAAAATATCCTAAGTAGGATACACTATACAAAACATACATCAACATCATTATTGCTATTGCTGTTTTAAAATACAACTTGTGAGGGACACCTGGGTGGCTCAGCGGTTGAGTGTCTGCCTTCTGCTCAGGGTGTAATCCCTGGATCTGGGATCGAGTCCCCCATAGGGCTCCTTTCATGGAGCCTGCTTCTCCTCTCTTCCTGTGTCTCTACTTCTCTCTCTCTCTGTGTCTGTCTCTCATGAATAAATAAATCTTCAAAAATATATATATAACTTGTGAAGGAATTGCAGAGCATCTAAGCACATTACTTTGAATTCATTCTAACAGCTGCTTAGTCACTCTATCATGTTTGATTAAAACAAACTTGCTTCAATTTTACCCTCATTTCACTCTTAATAGTCCTTTAACAATGGAAAAAATTTTTCTTAAAACAACCTGTGATTTTATAAAACTCTTCTTTATAGCTCTTATCTATGTCAATATGTGTATTTCTGAACACAAAAGACACCAAAAACCGAACCAAGGCCCATTACATTCTTTCTTTCATAAATCATGCAGTACACAACATCATTACCCAAAGATTCTTTAAAAAATCTTTTCCTTGCACCACAACTTAGAGAGAATTAAGCTGGATCTAAAAAAAAATGGACCATGTTTTCCCCTCAATTTCTTTCCCAAACCATGCTAAAATGATAGTAAAGGATTTTTTTTAACACCATAAAAAAATAGAAGAGGACACAGAGAGGACAAAGACTTCAATAACTTTTTGGGAACTGGAAAATCACTAATGAAGAAGAGTTAACTGCCTTGATAAAGTAGAGGAAATGCCTCAACCCAAATTCCTGCAAAAATAATTAGAGAGGAAGAAGATCTCCCTGTATCCAGCACCTGGGGGTATCAAGCATGGTGAAAGGCAGCCTGCATGGAACTGGGTAAAAATATGGAGATTGACTGAAAGTTTATAGAGAGAAGTTGGGACTCCAAGTTCCCTTCACCCAACGCTGAATTGTCTGGCAACCATTGCTCTTACTCAAAGTCCCCATCTCCAAGCCAGGAAACTAAAGGTTTATTTTCTGTAGAAACCACATCAGAAAAGCTTCAGAGTGAGACAGAAGGCAAAGTAGAGGATTAGTGTGATCAAACAGAAAAAAATATTTATTTTTAATAAATAATCCTCAAATGTAGTCCCAAATTAGCAGTGTATGACCTGGGAAACTTGTTAGAAATGCTAATTCTCCAGCCCACCTCACAAGCCTACTGTGGAAAGCAGACTTTAGGGTAACTCCTAACGAGCCCCATCTCCTGGTATTATGGCCTGAATCATCCCCTCTCTTGAATAATTTGCTTCTAACCAAAAGAATACCTCAATATTGAGGGTATTTCACTTATTTGATTAGGTTATAAGAGATTGTAAAATTTTCTACTTGCTAGCAAATTTGCTCTATCATCTTCAGTTTGCATGTTTTGATGAACCAAGAGGACTTACTGGAACAACTCATGAAGGAAGAAACTGAGCATGACTACAAGGTGGCTACAACCCTCAAGGAATTGAATCCTGACACCAACCAAATGAACTTGAAAATGGATCCTTCCCTGGTTGAGCCTTCAGATGAGACCCTAGTCTTGACCACACCCTGACTGTCGCCTATGACATATCCTGAGCAGAAGATGGGCCTAAGCCATGCCCAATACCTGATCTACAGCAACTATGAGATAAAAAACGTGTGTTGTTTTAAACTGCTAAGTTTGAAAATGTGTTATATACTAATAGTACATCTAATGAATCAGACTTTCTGAGAGTGGAGCCCAACAATCTGTTTTAACAAGCTTTCCAGGTGCTTCTGATGCAAGATTAGGTTTGAGAACCCCTGTATTAAACCTTAAAACATGCTTCCTGCTCCATTTCCTAAATGCCAGCAACTAGGCATATAATTTCAGGTCAAGAGGTAAAAAGTTTAGAGAATTATTCTCTAAAAGATGGAATTTTCAGTTATGTCAACCACAGGAAAGACTGACAGCCTCATGTCCACCTTCCATTGACATCCAGACAAAATCACAATGCTCTTACAACCTTGTACTCAGGAATTTTTATTAGAAGAGTCAAGACATATCTATTATATATTTTTAATACTATATATACATCTATAGATAATATATTTTAAAATTATGAAATATCCAGGATCCCTGGGTGGCTCAGTGGCTGAGCACCTCCCTTCGGCCCAGGACATGATCCTGGAGTCCTGGGATCGAGTTCTGCATTGGGCTCCCTGCAAGGAGCCTGCTTCTCCCTCTGCCTGTGTCTCTGCCTCTCTCTGTGTCTCTCATGAATAAATAAATACAAATCTTCAAGAAAAAAAATTAGTTTAAAAAATTATGAAATATCCAAAACAGCAGACCTGTATTTTGCAAGTTTGAACTGAAAAATCTCTCCCATAATTGTTACTGTGAATGGTACAAATCTTCTCACCTAGTTCTTGGTGTGTTGTAGCAGAGAAGGAAGGCACGTGATAAACATTTTGGAGCAAAAAGTCAAAAATTCCTCCATGTAACTGTCATCATATATTTCTTTAGCACATAACTGAAATTTTAAAATACAATCTAGAAGAAACTGCAAAGGAAACAAACAGCACCCACACTAACTTCACAAAAAACTTCTTCACAAAGTCTACCATGGTTAATGCTGAGTGCTTCTTCATAGCATTAAACTTTATTCATAAATTAATAAATATTGATAATATATTTAATAATTGTATTAATAATATTTATTAATAAAGTAATAAACTAAGAAATATTCAGCTTTCAGTTACTTTATATGTGATCTATTTTTTTTAGTCTCTGGAAGCTCAAGATCACAGAGAATGTGCCTTCCTACTTCCTAATACATAATAGGTAAACTTTTCAGTTCATTTAACCTTTATAAACCTTACTCCTTAACCTGAAGTGGCCTGGCCTAGCCACAGAACTAGCTCTAAGACCTGTCGAGATATGGTTAACTTGTCCATACTGCCAAACACACACAGTTCGTTCATCTGACAAAAGAAACCAGAGGCTACTCTTTAATTTCCCTTATAGTGAAAGGTCTCATTGGAGCATCAAAGGGATTAGGCACGATTCAGGTGCACCACATGCACTCAGTATTCTGCCTAGCTGTCTTACCTACTCTAACATTTCAAATTAGAAGTCACAGGCAGAAACATGGTAAGAATGTATCTGAGGACTAAAAAATTCTCAAGTAGTTTACTTTATATTTATTGTAAAACCATCTGAAAAAAATATAGCTGAAATAATCTTATAACTTAGTGAATGAGGGAAAAAAAACAACAGTAAATCTGAAAGTTAAGAAATTCCCTGAAGTAGAGCATACTGCTGGGCTTGATCATGTCAACTTTTACCTATACATGTATAGAAAGACAAACCTTGGCTGCGGGTAGCTTTCAATAAATTTTGTCTTTTTCTGAAATTCTGAACTTTTTTGCATTCTTGGATATTAGACATGTGAATTTCAGAATCTGTTTTTTCTTCTTTCTCACCATTTCTCATAGTGCTTTCATCTCCATTGATATTACTAGTTAATTCCTCATCTAAAAAAACAAACATTTTACAACATCAGTGCTGCAGTTCTCCTCACTGGTTACGTGATTAGAAAAACTCATAACAATTCCAAGTTTCTGTTCCTCGCTGGACTGATTTATTCTATTTTATTTTACTTTATTTTATTTATTTATTTTTTTATAAATTAATTTTTATTGGTGTTCAATTTACCAACATACAGAATAACACCCAGTGCTCATCCCGTCAAGTGTCCCCCTCAGTGCCCGTCACCCATTCACCCCCACCCCCCGCCCTCCTCCCCTTCCACCACCCCTAGTTCATTTCCCAGAGTTAGAAGTCTTTATGTTCTGTGTCCCTTTCTGATATCTCCCACACATTTCTTCTCCCTTCCCTTATATTCCCCTTCACTATTATTCATATTCCCCAAATGAGTGAGAACATACACTGTTTGTCCTTCTCCGATTGACTTACTTCACTCAGCATAATACCCTCCAGTTCCATCCACGTTGAAGCAAATGGTGGGTATTGGTCGTTTCTAATGGCTGAGTAATATTCCATTGTATACATAAACCACATCTTCTTTATTTTTTAAAGAATAAAAGCCTTTAAAAATGTTTTCAGGGGCACCTGGCTAGGTCAGTCAGTAGAGCATGTAGAGACTCTTGAGTTACAGCCCTGGTTGGGTAGAGAGATTATTTAAAAATAAAATCTTTAGGGGTGCCTTGGTGGCTCAGTCAGTTAAGCGTCTGCCTTCAGCTTGGGTCATGCTTGATCCCAGAATGGGATCCTCGGGGAGCTTGCTTCTCCCTCTCCCTCTGCCTGCCACTCCCCCTGCTTGTGCTCTCTCTTTCTCTGTCAAAGCAATAAAATCTTAAAAAATTAAAAATAAAATCTTTAAAAAATGTTTTTATATAACAAAGTTTGCTGGATGCAATTCTGACGGGAACACAGAATCACTGAAATCAATAGCGTTAACAATTTCCTGCTATGGAAATTCTAGGTTAACTGATACTAAATAAGTGCTATAATAAAAAGAAACAAAAAATTGATATACTGTTTATTAACTTGTCAATACCAATTTAGCAACAGTCTTTGGTTGAAAATAATGGTTTATTTTCAAAATAAACAATATTACTTAACTAACAGCATCCCCAAATTATAGTCCACATGTCCTCATTCTTGTCAGTTTGGCATATAGTCCACATGTCCTCATTCTTGTCAGTTTGGCATAAATTGTTACAAATTTCTATAAAATATGTAAATCTGTAGGAGATATGTACAAATCAAGCAATACTACTAATACCTGCTTTATTTTTTTTAATTTTTTTTAATTTTTTTTAATACCTGCTTTATGAGAAATTTCCTTTTCTTCTTTTTGTCTAAGTTGTGAAATGTTGGTCAATTCCTTACTGATATTGTCAGTGGAATAAAAAACTGTATCATGTATGGTTTTGCTCTTTGGAAGATCTTGTTTCCTTTTTTCTACTGCAGTTGTTTCTATTACTTGAGAATTAACAACTGTGGATAAAGGTCCATTTGAAGAACTTGTTTCCCGGCTTTCATCATTGCAATTCTTTTTAGGGTCTTCTCCCTCATTTACTTTTTCCACAATATGAATATCTGTTTGATCCATTAAAGGAGTTGGTGCTCTGGAGCTAAAATCTTGAGGCCTTTTGAATAGCTTCACATGACTAGTCAACTTTGAAGCTTCCTGTGTTGAAAATGTTCGTGGACAAGCCAGGGAAGTATGCTCAGAACTGCCATGTGAGTGATCAAAAGAAGTTTTACATTTGCATTGTTCATAAATGGCAACACATTGTTCAGGACCTATTGTATTATCTGAATCAGAAAGATTAACAGCTTCCTGTTGTATGGTTAGACTGCATACTTTTAACTCATTTTCCTGTGAAAAATGGTCTTCAGAAGGGACAAACTGTTGAAAATCCATTTCTTTTCTAGTTGTTACATTCTCCTTATAATTACAGTGGTTTTTGCAACCTGTAGAACACACCACTGTTTTACATGTTACAGTCTTTTCAGAGGGAAAGCAATCATCATCATTAACATTATTAAAATTTTTCTTTATAAAGGATACGAAAGAATTTTCCCACTTACTAAGGTTCTCACATTTTTGACCTGAGTTACTGTTTTCAGGAGATTTATAAGGGCTAATGTGCTGTTGTTCTTGGTGAGTGTGAGGCTGCTGATCTGTAGTAACAAGTGGTAACTTGATTTCTTTCTGTAAGGAAAGTCTTGAGAAAAGAACAGCTTCTTCTTGGTCAGTGGATCCTAAGAATTTCATTTCTTGATTATCTGATAAATCCAGGCTCTGGATATGTGTCTCTTTTGGAACTAAACAAGCCTCAATATTGTTACCTAATCCATTTTTCAGGCTTGACAGAGCTGGGCTAAAAAGTTTATGTGACTTTTCTGGAAGGTCATCAAAGGCTTGGAGAGTATCTGGCTGACCAGTAACTAATCTGTTTATTCTTCTGGAAGAAGAAACAGCTCTTGCCTTTCTTGGAATGCATATTTCTTGTTTTGGATCATCCACTTGAGTTCTTTTCTGTCCTGTGTTTCTTCTTCCTTTATCTTTAGACATACTTGTATTAACGCCTTTGATATTCTGGAGACCCTTCTTTCGGAGTCTTCTAGTAGAGTGTATTTCGTTAAAAGTTGATTGCTTATGCTTGAATTTACCAAATTTTGTGTCTTTGGAATATTTTTGGTAATGTTCATATACATCTTCTTTATTTATAAATAAACCCTCTTTACTTCCTTTATCAACTTCTACATGTTCTGACTTCTGTCTGTTGGAATTTTCATCACGAACAAACCCAATGAGATTTTTAGAACTGAATTTTGGTTTCTAAAGAAACAAAACATATAGTTAGCTTTATTTTCAACTCTACTTCTATACTCAATTCAGGATTGTTGATAAATCGAACCACTACTCCACTCAATTTTATGATTTGATCTAACCACAGGGCCTGATGGGATATATACAACCTAATATTTCAAAAAAGAAGACTAAGAGAGAAAAGCAAATGTAGTAGACTTAGACTCATTATGTGTACTAATCTGTATTTTCTGCCTCACATTTTAATTTGTTTTTGCCAATATTTAGCAATATTAATACTATTAAGCATAATAAAAAATTTAATCTACTTCATTTTTATGGGCTTTAAGTGTAACCAAACAAGAATGCTTTAGAAAAACACACACCTCTCTCAATTGTTATATAGATAGAGCCAGAATTAGATAGTTCTTTCATCTAGTATTTATGACAGACTATAGGTAAGGCAGAAGAAGGGATTTAACATCAAGGAGACCAATATGCTCCCAAACGGATCTTCATGAAAACATCATTGTGGGTTGGTATGATTAAAACAGGGACATCATTTCCTCTCACTCACCACAACCCAAGTACCAGATGAAGACTAACCGCCCACCATATATAATTTGAAGGAATAGATCTACACCTTTGATTCCTGTCCTGTGCTTAGGCCAGAGGAAATCGACATGGTTGATAAACCTCACAGCTCCATGAAGAAGAGGAAAAAGGAAATGGCTACTGATAAACCAGTGTGCCAAGACATGCTGTATTTACTCAATTGCTTCCCAAACTAACAGCCCAGAATGCCCTAATTGTCATATAATTATTCCAAAATATCTTAAAAGCAAAGGCGAAGTCACTGTTTCTGATAGATGCTTTAGCCATCTTTCTTTCCATTCTGATAATCTTTAAAATAAGCAGCAGGTTCATTCTATAAGCATGTTTATTGCTAAATAGGGCTATACCTTGTGCTGGTTTGCTTCCTCTATGTCTAATGAATCAGTGCTGTTCTTTTGAGCTGTAAACCAAAAGAGAAAATCAAAGAAAATAGCCTCCAGTAGTCAGACTCTAGATTTCCAAAATCTATCAGTCCTTGGCCATGAGAAAATCAGGGAAATTTTACTTTTAAATTCTTTCATAAATAACTGGATTATCATTTCCTAATATGTCTGCTTAATAAGGTTCTAGTTTGAATGCTTCATTCTCTTAAAAGTGAAATACATAGGCATGAAAAGGCTGCTCTTGAGTAAGAAAAAAAAAAGATGGTTTGAATAAAATATACCTTGGCTGATAATAAAAGAAAAGCACTTTAGTGTCTCTTTTAAATACCAGAAGTGGAATTAGTTACCTGCATACGCATTTGGACACAGAAGATAAAAACCTAGAAACAGTGCCTTACACACAGGAGGTATTCAATGACTAATAGGCGAAGGAATAAATGAGTGGACATCTTAGATGTGATATGTAAACAATATAGAATTCTTTAAATACATTGTGAACTAGAAATGTAAAAATATTTTAACAAGGACGTAACTGGGATAAAGAACATTTTATTTCTTGGGGATAGTTTTCATGACTGCAATCAAATTATAATGTGCATAATGAGGCCTAGTATTCACCTATTCAACTCATGCAACAGAGAGTAGACATACAGAATGTTCCTCAATGAAGCAAAGGAGCTGGGAGCACAGTCTCTGCAGCCTACTCCTGAGTTTCTATCTTTACTCATTTACTTAGCAGCTGGATCACTCTGGGTAAATTTCTTAATATCTCTACCTCATCTCCATAAAATGAAAGTAGTGATAGTCCTTATCTTATAGAATTGTTATGAAAATTAAATAAGATAATCCATGTAAAGAGTTTGGAGGAGTTACTGGCACAAAGAAAGTGCTCTATTATTAATTTTGTTATTACTATTTTTCAAGAGCAGAAAGGACTGTGTGCCTTCTAATTTTGGTTCTAAAATAAAAGAGTAGAAATAAATAAATAAATAAATAAATAAATAAATAAATAAATAAGCAAGCAAGCAAGCAAGCAGGATACAAAAGGGGACACCTGTATGGCTCAGTCGGTTAAGCATCTGCCTAGGCTCAGGTCATAACACCAAGATCCTGGGATTGAGCCCCATGGATCCCAGGGCAGGTAGCCTGCTTTTCCCTCTCCGTCTGCCTGCTGCTCCCTCTTCTTGTGTTCTCTCTGTCTCTGTCAAATAACTAAATAAAATCTTTTTTAAAAAGAGCAGAAAAATGTTTTACAGGAACCAGCATTTTGGGCATGGCTCCTAAGAGAATCTGGAAGCAAGAAAGGGCTTTTATCCTCTCTGTTTTAAGAGTTTATATGCTTTAGTATAACCAACTAAAAACAAAACAAAACAAACAAAAAAAACACTACACAGATGTAAATTCTGAGGTGGTGATGCAGCCTTAACTTTTTTCACTCTGTCATTCCAAGCTCTGTCATGTATAAGATATTGTATGGAAGTATTTTATATACATCAACTCCCATCCTCATAGTAACAATCCCAGATATATAGGTAGCAGAATAGATACTATAAGCCCACATTTACAGATGAGAAAATTGAGAGGGCTAATTTACTCCAGGATGTAAAGTTAGTAAGAATGAACCCTTGTCCTATACCAAGTAGATGTATTATACTTTTCGAGAGAAAAGCACCAAATATATATTGCATGAGGAAGGTTCTTTATCCATCATTCCTATAATTAAAAACTCTTCAACTGAAATTTAAAAACAAATACTGTTTGATATTTTTAAGTAAATTATTAAGTAAATTACCTCTTCATTTATACTGCTAAGTAGGCTGATAATTAATGACAGATTTTGAAAGTTCAAACTTAAGAAATATTCAAACCACTTGATGAAGCATAATACCACCTTGGTAAATTCCCTTACAAGGGAAGAGTGGGAACTAACTCCTAAGAAGAAAGGGTTGGGATTCCTTTCCCTGAATGAAATCTCCTTGGGTAAAAATCTGTCAGAAGTGGGCACTGGTGAATGGGAGATTCTGGATTTGGAGAAAGGGCTAAAATGCTGGAGAAAGCACTCTCAGAATAGCAAAACAATGCATGCTACCATAAAACAGAGAAGTCAAGCAATTAAGCAGATTATTAAAGCAAAAATGTAAAAATACACATCCTTTTGCCTTCACGTGAATATCTGTAATTTCTCATATAGCTTGAAATGTAAATTTGAGTGCAATAATCTATCTCAATGAATGTAAATATGAATTATCTATCTCAATGTGCTTTTATAGACCTGGCCTCAACAAAGTATAGTGTGTCTCTCTTATTTTTTTTTCTTTTTAGATTTTACTTATTTATTTGACAGAGAGGTAGAGAGAGATCACAAACAGGGGGAAAGGCAGAGGGAAAAGCAGACTCCCTGCTGAGCAGGAAGCCCTTTGCAGGGCTCCATCCCAGGACCCTGGGATCATGATCTGAGTCAAAGGCAGATGCTTATCAAACTGAGCCACCCAAGGACCCTCTCCCTCTTATTTTCTGATGAGAATGGGCTACAGGGGAAGAAGTCGTTTGTTCTAAAAGAACCATTAATTAATTTCTTCTTGGTGTCCTTTAGTTAGCAATGAACTTATCTCTTTATTATAAAGCAGGGTGTTTTGATCCAAGTCTTATTCTTTCGTCAAAAGCATTCAAACAGTTACCTCTTTAGAGATATTTTTATTAAAATACAGTTTAATGGGGTGCCTAAGTAGCTCAGCTGGTTGAGCAACTGCCTTCAGCTTAGGTCACTATCCCAGGGTCCTGGGATAAAGCCCCACATCATTCAGCTCCCTGTTCAGCAGGAAGTCTGCTTCTCCCACTCCCTCCCCCTGGCTTGTGCTCTCTCTCTCTTGCTCTCTCTCTCTCTCTCAAATAAAGAAAATCTTTAAATATTAATACAATAAAATATAGTTTAATAAAAGTGAATGAAGCACATACATAACTCTTGAAGGTAAAGAATTTGTTTGGTTTAAAAGGACTAATACACTACTTACTCAACAAATATTTACTGAATGCCTGCTGTATACAAGGCATTTAGTACTCATCACCAGACTAAATAAAGGTCCTTCCCTTCATGGAGCTTAGATTCTGGTGGGGAAAGACTAAAAATTAACAAATCATATAATGTGTTACAAGGTGTTAAGTGCTATGGTAAAAGGTTAAATATAATAGTAGAGTAGAGTAAGAGGGACCGGAGTGTGGCAGTTTGTAAAATACATTCATAAAGTTTTTGATATTCCTCCTTTCGAAAGGTAGAACTTCCCAGACTTAGTGACTTACTTACAACAAATAGAATATAGTAGAAGTGGTTGTATATCACTTTCAAGACTGAGTTATAGGAAGCTTGTGCCCTCTGTCTTGGGTGCATTATCTCTCCTGGATAACTTTCTGACCCAGCTGCCAGGACGTCAGGCCTATGGAAAAAGCTCATGCGGCAAGTAACTGAAGCCTCCAGTTAGCAAGCAGCGGGGAGCTGAGGCCTGCCAAGAACCATGGGAGTGAGCCTGAAAGTGGATTTTCCTGTCTTAGCTGAGCCTTGAGCTCACCATCCCTTACTAATAGTCTGGCTGCAAACTCTAAGAGATCCTGATCCAGAACTGGTTACTCAGTTAAAAGGCTTCCAGACTTCTTCTTCTTTTCTTTTTTAAAAATATTTTATTTATTTATTCATGAGAGACCCAGAGAGAGAATGGCAGAGACACAGGCACAGGGAGAAGTAGGCTCCTTGCAGGAAGCCTGATGCGGGACTTGATCCCGGGGCTCCAGGATCATGTCCTGAGCTGAAGGCAGGCACTCAACCACTGAGCCACTCAGACATCCCAGGCTTCCAGACTTCTTATCCTCAGAAATTGTGAGATATAATTAACGTTTGTTGTTTTAAGATGCTAAATTTTGGGTAATTGTTGCATAGGGATAGATAACTAATACAGTGAGGGTGGGAAGGAGGCAGGTTGCAGGGTTTTTTTGTTTCTTTTTGTTTGTTTTGTTTTGTTTTGTTTTGTCTTAGGTTGCAGTTTTAAATAGGATAGTCTAGGCCTCCCTGAAATGACATTTGAACTAAGACTTGAAAGACGTGGGGGAGGAACAGCAAGGAGGCCAGTGTGACTGGAGTTGAGTGACATAGGTAGAGGGTGATAGAAGTTAACTGGTAGGATGGCTGGCTGATAGATCAGACCCCTATAGATCAGGGGTCTATAGGCCACTGTAAGGATACTGACATTTCTTCTAGATTAAATGGAGAGCCACTACCGGGTTTTGAGTAGAGGAATGTGTGACCTTATCAAAAAATTTAAGGGGAATAAAGAAAGCGCCATGCATGTAAATCATTCTTATAATCTTCTTATTGACAACTATAAATCTAGTTCTTTTGTAGTTCAATTTTTACCAGTATAATAGATGACAGGGTAAAAATACAGCCATAAGAAAATATTCTTAGGGAATGGAAATGGAAATAAACAATCCTGGTCATACTTATCAAAAAGATACAGTCAAATATAATTTACATCATATCTTGTTTTTCAGTCAAAAAATTTTCAGGGAAAAAAAGAACTTTAGAAAAGTTTTCTTAACTGTTTGCAATGCACAAGAAGGAAAAAGTGCATCTTTCCATTATGTGCATTTGCAAGCAAGTCCATGTGCTTTACTACATGAATGGAGCAAGGACACCCCTGGATGGGTCTTCTCAAAACTTAGGAAAAGAAATTTAATTTCTATAATTCTAAATCCAATTTCTATAACTCTCTATCAATATAATGAACAAATATAACACAGTTTAATCTTACCTGATGTAAGATAATGTTTTTGATATTTAGGAACATATTTCTCAAGGAGGCACTTCATACATGAATCTTTGGCCTCATCCAAAGCACATTTTCCATTGTCACTCCTAAGTAACGGATCAGCTCCATTCAAAAGAAGTAACTCTGCCACCTACAGGAAGATTGTTCAGGTGGGCATATCCAAAGAAAAAGTACATTATTGTAAATGTGTGCTAGCATACAACTCTAAGTAAGCAACATCTGTTATTTCTTTTACTTTTTAAAAAATATTTTATTTATTTATTCATGAGAGACAGAGAGAGAGAGGCAAAGACATAGGCAGAGGGAGAAGCAGGCTTCCCATGGGGAGCCTGATGACAGTCTCTATCCTGGGATTGCGGGACTTGATCCCGGATCACGCCCTAAGCCCAAGGCAGACACTCAACCGCTAAACCACCCAGGCGTCCCTAATATTTCTTTTTTTTTTAAAGATTTTATTTGTTTATTCATGAAAGACACAGAGAAAGAGAGAGGCAGAGACACAGGCAGAGGGAGAAGCAGGCTCCCTGCAGGGAGCCTGACACGGTGACTGCATTCCAGGACCCCAGGATCACAACCTGAGCCAAAGGCAGACACTCAACCACTGAGCCACTCAGATGCCCCTCTGATATCTCTTTTAATAACAGAGTTTGGGTTTACCTATAACAACTTTTTCCAATAAAAAAATTTATGTAATTGCTACTGAATCATAATTTGTTGATATACAAATCTTTCTCTTACAAAAAAAGGGAGAGAGGGAGAGAAAAAGAGAGGAAGGGGCCAATAGGGAGAGGAAAGGAGAGAGGGACTGAAGGAGGAAGGACAGGTCAGAAATGTATATAGCTTAGGTGCTGGTGAAATGAAGCCAGCAGATATACCAAGAATTAGCACTGGGTTCTGGAGTAGTAAATATAACAGATTTCAGGAGATTGTTATGTCTTCCATCTATATCTGTGTTGCTGCTGCTCCTCCTCAGAGTGAGGGAAAAAACAGTCAACCCTTAATTTGTTAGTACTCCTCAAAGTAACCTCCTCCGTGAAGTGTGCCCTGACCTTCCATTCATTACTACTCTAGAGAAAAATGACCTCTCCTTTCTTTTAGGTATATATTTTATCACCTTGCCCAATATATATTATTATTGTTATTTCTTATATATCTGTCTCTCCTGTAGCCTAAGGTTTCTGAGGGTGGGGCTATGTTTTCCTTTTAAAATTAATTATTTTTGAATAGGATATTAATGAATATAGTTCAAAACACAGAAGGCTCATTAAAATATGTGAGAAATATTTTCCTCTCCTCTACCCCTGTCCTCCAGTCATCCAATTTTTTCCTAAGCCCTGGCTATAGTTTCTTCTGAATTCTTCCACAGTCAATCTAGTCCAACAGGTATATACATATGTATACTCATTTTTTCTTATGCAAGTGGTCATATATTATATACATTCCTCTATGTCTCGCACCTGAACAACAGAGCTTAGAGATTGTACCATATCAGTATAAAATCAACTTCATTATTTTTAGAAGCTGAGTAATACTCTACTAGTCAATGTACTATTGAATAGTACATTCAATAAATTATTGAATGTACTGTACTTTACTTAACCAGTATCCTACTGACATGTTTAAGTTGCTTCCAAGCTTCTACTACATATATGTCTTAATCATCTTTATATTCCCAGTGCCTCAGTGTCTAGCTTAGAGTAAATATTCAATAAATATTATTTAATAAAAGAATGCATGTAATCAAGTAAGATGTGGGAAGTAGGCTTTACACAGCACTACACTAAAAGGAGCCTACATTTTCATGTTAATATCTGGAATGACAAAAAGGATGTGAATTTCTGTAAATTTTATATACCTCCAAATTAAATATATATATATATATATATATATATATATATATATATATTCTTTTTTTTATAACAAAGCATTCTAGGAGAGAAAAACATAACACCATAAAGGGACAATATAAGCCAGATCCTTTAAAAATTATTAAGACTTGGCAATTCTGCTTTTCAAACTATTTTATTATGACAATTTAATGCTAGATGGGGAACTTGAAAATAAAATAAATATAATAAAATCTATAATTCATATGTAAGCCAGTATAACAAGATAACAAATTTATGTCTAGATCTTCACGTATTGTTCAGCAAAGAAAATATCGAGTACACAGCTTTCTTTTAGGAAAGAAGTTTTGTAAGGGAGTTGCCAAAAGGACTATATTATTTATCTCTGGAAGTTTTGTGTCAAATAATAACCCATGTAGTATGAGAGTGACTCAGAATCAAGGAGCATGAGAAAGGGGACTGGAAGAAGGGAAAAGGCAAGGGCTAGAGGCCCACTTTCCTGGAAATCTGAGTTGATGATTCCAAGGGAGTGGATACATTACTTTGGCAGTCCCTGACTTAGGCAATGGATGGATAGTCTTGCTTCACCAAATATCCACACTTACCATTTCCCTCTACAGTCTTAATATTATGAATTCTGAAGCCTACTCTACATATCTTCTAACTTGAAATGCTCTTTTCTCACCAAAAGGCAGTAAATAAATGACTTTTGCTGAGTATCCCCCCCTTTTTTTGAAAGGTTTATTTATTTGAGAGAGGGAGAATGAGCACAAGTGGGAGGCATTGAGGGAGAGGGAATAAGTCTTAAGCAGACTCTGCACTGGGTGCCCAAGTGGGGTTTGATCCCATGACCTTGAGAGCAAGACCTGAACTGAAACCAAAAATTGGATGGCCAACCAACTGTGCCATTCAGGCACCCCTCCTTCTTATTTTAAACCTACATTTAGGTTTTATATTAGCTCTGTGTTACTACCTAACAAATTACCCCCAAACAAAGTGGCCAAAAGAATAATAAATATTTATAATCCCACAGTTTCTGTGGGTCAGGAATTTGGGAGAAGCACAGGCAGGTGCTTTTGTATCAGGTTCTATCTCTGTCTTCTTTATTCTTTATTCATTTTTTTATTTTTTTTTTGCCAGAATAGTCTAGATGAGATTACTGTCATTCAAATATTTTACAGAATCAGGAATGCAGCAACTGGGTCTAGGTAGGATAAAAAAAGTAAAAAAAACTGCAGGTTTGTATATGTTGGTCTATTTACATCTGTAACAGGCTTTCCTCCACAGGAGGCACAGCAGCTGTACTTGTCTGATGCTTCCTTACAGATACAGTCCTGGGCACACTTGGCACTGTCCATGGGGCAGGAGAAGCAGTAGCTCTTCTTGAAGGAGATACATTTGCACTCTGCATCCGCAGGAGACAGAGCATCTGCAGGAGCCCCTGGTGGAGGAGGAGCCATTGGGGTCCATTTCAAGCTAAGGTGAGGATGGAGGTCCCAAGCGAGTGATGCTGGGAGGCACTGCTGTGGGCTGGAGGTGTAGAGGTTAGTTTCTTATGTGGATGTAGTCAAGAGGATGGCTGGAGATACAATTATGTAAAAGCCTGACTGGGGCTGGAAGGTGTTGCCTAAGATGCTTTGGTCACACAGCTATGGGACGGAGACCTTGGTTCATTGCCACGTAGACCTGTCCATTGAGCACTGTGGCATCCTCCATATACACCTGGCTTTCCTCATATAATGAACCAAAATCAAGAGAAGAGAGAGAACAAGGAAGAAGCTATGATACTTATAATCTAGCTTCAGAAGTTGTGTACTGTCACCTCTGCCATGTTCTATTTGTTGGAAGCAAGTCACTGACAGACAGTTCAGCCTACGATCTTGGGGAAGAGAATCAGGCTCTACCTTTTGAAAGGAGGAGCATTAAAAAATTTGTGGACATATGTTAAAGCTACCACAGGTTCTTTTTTTTTAATTTTTTATTTATGATAGTCACACACACAGAGAGAGAGAGAGGCAGAGACATAGGCAGAGGGAGAAGCAGGCTCCATGCACCGGGAGCCCGACGTGGGATTCGATCCCGGGTCTCCAGGATCACGCCCTGGGCCAAAGGCAGGCGCCAAACCCCTGCGCCACCCAGGGATCCCTACCACAGGTTCTTAAATAGAACAAGCAGAGCCATTTCAGTAAGTGACTGACATCACAATCCCCATTTCTTTGGCTTACAAATAGTAGACTCCTTAAGAAAATATACTTTTACTTTAAGTTTGCTTATGGATTTTCACCTTTAATCATACTATTGAATCAAATGCTTTCTTCCCTCTAAAATCAGCTGACTTCCTTATGTTAGAAACAAGTAAGATAGAGAATAAAATTCTTTTTTGAAAGTTTTTATTCAAATTCCAGTTAGTTAACACACAGGTAATAATAGTTTTAGTATAAAATACGTGATTCATTGCTTCCATACGTTACCCAGTGACCGTCAAAACAAAAGCATTCCTTCAACCCCATACCTATTTCACCCATCCCCTTGTCCACACCCCTTCTGGTAATCATCATTTTGTTCTCTATAGCTAAGAGTCTGTTTCTTGGTTCCTCACCCTCATTTTTCCCCCTTGTTCGTTTGTTTAGTTTCTTAAATTCCACATGTGAGTGAAATCATAAAGTATTCATCTTTCTCTGACTCATTTTGCTTATCATAGTACTCAGAATAAAATTCTTTTGAGTACTTGAAAAGACAGTATCTTGACTATACTCTGCTAGTGAAATATGCATAAAACAGAAAGAACTACAAGGGATGCTCCAGTGGCTCAGTGGTTGAGCATCTGCCTTTGGCTCAGAGCGTGATTTTGGAGTCCCCGGGGATCAAGTCCCACATCGGTGCCCCACAGGGAGCCTGCCTCTTCCTCTTCCTCTGCCTCTCTCTGTGTGTCTCTCATGAATAAATAAAATCTTTAAAAGAAAAAAAAAGGGAACTACAAAAAATTTAATTAGTAGTTTTATTGTTAATAATAATAGTGTTAATATTAATAATAATACTGCTAATAGTAATATTTTAAGTATATTATACAATAAAGTAAATTAATGTAGTAAAAACAAATGCTGAGCCTTAGAGAAAAAGAGATGAATATGAAATCAAAATTAATATAAATCTACAATATTAAATTTAAAATAGAAATATCAGTATGAACTCATTATTTTTCTTCATATATCCTCTAACTTGAAAAATATGTATTTTACTGAAAATGCCTAAAAGCAACGGTTTCCAATACCAATGAGCACAT